AGAGACTGAGGCACTGCGGAAAAATTTGCATGTTGTGAAACACACGAGAGGTTAAAGTGGGCAAGACATTAAAATAGCTGATGAATGAAAAGAGGCAATAAATTAATACAATTTGGATATATCTTATCTTGGACATTGTTCTCTCTAGCTTGTGGTTAACGATGACATTACAAATTACAAACATGCAGAAAATGTTGGAAAGTACTACATGTATACCCTGTAATAGACAAATGATCCAAAAATATAACAGAATCAACAGAGGTAACAACATATTTAACTGAGACCAAAGTTCAATCAAAACTGAGGTAGTTGGCTTCGGGAGACCAACGAATGAAGGCGTATGTCTACAATGTCTTTACCACCACGCGCAAAAGGCATGTAATACCTGAAATAGTATTCCTGTAGTTTATTTTCTAAAGTTTAGGATGTCAAGAGGAACGAATCAAAAGTAGTAGCAAAAGCGAAAATGACTAAAAACTGCTTCAAAATTTTAGTGAAAAAAACTACAGCTGAGATAGAAAGAGGGATCTTTTCTATTTAATCTTGTGACTTAGCGAGTCCATCTCAGCTAAGAAGATTAAAGTGTATTATGAGTGAGTCAAAAGCTTTTATCGTGCTTGTTTACCGCGTATTGATATGTTACTGAAGAGGTATGTTCTCGTATCTCTGAGAAAATCAACGCTCGCAAAAGTATATTTACGTTATCCGAACGAGATGAATGGATGGAAAAAAAAGGGAACGTTAAAGGTTCATTGGTACGATTTTCTCTCTCTTTTTATTTCTCATGAACGTTTTTCTAGCGTTAAAGAACACTCCAGTAAGCAGAAAACAGCGGAAGAGGGCACTCATCAATTACCAAACAATCAGGCGATAAATGACGACTGCATTTGTCCAAGAGGGTAATAAGTCCTTGTGCATCTATTAAAGCCACTCAAGGAGGGTTGTAAACACACCTGAAACAAGCTTTGGACACGAGAAGATATGAGTCAAAAAAATTAGACGTGCAAACCCAAAAACCCAAAAGGATTTGTCATAATCAAAAGAACCGGCCTTAAAAATGCATGCTTTGGTAGGTTTTTGTCAAAAAAAAAAACAACATCGCGGAAAAAAACACTTGAACTCAGCAAGCCGAGAACGCCTGTTCATATGAACAAATACATCAAGTACTCAATAACCGCAAAATTAACATTTATCAATGAAAAAATGTATAACAAACAATTATACACACATTTTAAGTGTAAAAAGGGTTTTAAAAAGATAATGTTGGCACAATCAGGCCGATATTGATATTGTTGCGTGTTGCAGCTAAGTGCTTTTCACGTGAATTTATGCACATGTCAAAATGAAGAACAAGACCTCACTTCTTTGAAAGGTGTTCCTGCTAGGAAAGCAATATATACACGGAACAAGGATAGCTGATATCTATTTCCACTGTGATGGCTTGGGAATGGGTTAAAAAGTGCGAATACTTTACTGAATGTTGAGAATCAACGCCTATGATAACATCTACCACAGTTTTGTATCGAATACAAAGTACAAGTAAGTTTGATAACTTGTTTGTGATGTTTGCACTTAATTTGAGCCTGCTTTAGGGTTTACACTAAGAACACACAATTTTTTATTTCCAAGAAGCTCAAACGATTGCTTGAAGAGGACAGAAAGCATGTTTGAAAAAAAATTAAGTTTGGCTAGACTTAGGACTTTAAAGTTTTGCCCTTCCGATTGTTTAAGAGTCGACTCATTCATTTGGTTACAAAAATGCGCAAGATTCCATAGATGATCATTGTAAATTGTGATTACTCACTTGCGGATAAAAGTGCAATAGGAGTATGTTCTTATAGTTTGCCAGTTTTACAATTGTATCGTGACAAATTCTGTTTAGATCAACGGATGAGTTGCCATTCGGACGATTAACATTTAACCTCAGAATGTCAAGATGTGGGTTCATTTCCTTTAAATGCAAATAATCAAAATTTTTGAAACCGCATGAAAATGGTTGGGGATGAAATTCTTTGGCTAGTCACGAAAACTACGGTACTAAGCAGGGTTGCTATAAATGAAGCTTGATCTTAATCTTGCATTGACTGTTCTTTTAAAAACGAAAAGGTAGTGATACATCTCAGGTACAGACAGGCTTTCGTGATGGAATAAATTTTGTCTTTGATCGACATTGGCTCTTTGTTTCTGGTCCGCATTCCACTTTGAAACATCACTTCAAGCACTGGTTTTGGCCTTGTGCTGATTTTTTTGTCAGTTGAAAATAGCACACAAGGCAGAATGACCAAGAAAGAAAAAAGCGCTGAATATGTTTTAAATCATTTACTGTTTAAAGTCATTTTCTACAACATACGAGCAGATGGCGGCATAGTGACCACCCTCAGGGCTAGTTAGCGGACTCGATGAAAGATTGAATACCTGCGCAATGACTTAAACACCGAGCGCAAAGCCGGATGCATCTATTCTCCTCAACATTTTCATATAGCGGGGGTAAAAAGATAAAAACTTATTTTCGCCTAAGATTTGGAGTATGAAACCATCCTTTGCCGCTTATGTAGTGCCTTTCACTGAATACGGCACTCAGTTAGTGCCCAGTGCTTTCAATAATAATAATAATAAAAAAAAATGTATCAAAGTTTCGTGTCAGAAAGACTCAGGGCAACTTAATGGTTGATCGAAATCGTGCGTCATGTAATGAAGCAATGCATTTTTTTATAATCCAACAACTTGAAGAGAGCTATTTCAAGAGGATGTAACTTAATTTAGCAGAATTTCCATTTAGCCGTCTCGAGCCTTGAACGGAGACATTTGACGACTTTATACGATTACCAAGAATTGACGTAACATGACAGAATGGTACAAACTTTCTCTTGCAACGAAAAACTCGTTGGCACCCCTGTATGAATAAAGATTGAAATAACTATGATTGATCTTGTTCTTTTTAGAAAAATTCTGCAGAAACACATGGGGGTATTGTGAAAAAAACATTCTCCTTTTCAGTCATGGGGAGCTTTTAAATGATATATCTTAAATACAAACTATCTCAGTTTTTGGTTATCAACTGATTGGTTATCATGCTACTTAGGAGATGGTAATAATTTATAATGAATAAACAACAAAACATAACGCGATGAAGACATAGGGGTCTAAACATTTACTCAATTTACGCATTCAACATGATTTGTATACAAAGAATTGAGCTGAAAACAATATTACTGTAAGTCATTGGTCACGGGCGGCTGTTATTGGCAGATGTAAAGGTCTTAATTTAAATTCGCCGTTTTCAATGGTTTAGACCAACATCTGGAGTCCAATAGTCTTGAAGCATTCCTTTTCTGGGCGCTAAGGTGTGGGCTTTTAAGATCTGTTTACTGCCTTACACTTTTTTTTACGCTTTTAAAATCTATATTAATGTTCTGCCTCGCACTAACCTACAATGTGCGCGGCTGTAAGATTGAACTGGTCTAATTATTTTTTCTTTTTCCTCTTTCAGATCAAACTTTGGACATAAAGAAGCTCGTTTTAGCAATCAACCTAAACTTTATTCAGGAAGAAAATGAGCGTCAATGAATTCAAAGGTAAAGGCTGATAGTTTCGAAAGAAACTGTTTGGGGCTGCGTCGGTGGGAGTAACGAAATAATCTGGATATATCAACAAAGTTGAAATGGTAAATTGGCCACCGTAACGATTACAAAAGCTGACGTTTCGAGCGTTAGCCCTTCGTCGAAACGTCAGCTTTTGTAATCGTTACGGTGGCCAATTTACCATTTCAACTTTGTTGATATATCCAAATTCAAAGGTAAGGCTGAGAAAATTTCGGTAACGTTCTTCTAGAAAACTGAAATTTTACACACGAGACTGATTCGCTATGATAGTCGCCGGAGATTATCCCGTTTTGTCAGGGAAACGGAAGTACTGCCACTCCTACCGGAAGAAGAAGAGTGAGGCATTGCAATAGTTAAGAGCAGAAAGGGTTCTATGCTGAAACTTCTGTGAAAAAGGGCTCGTTTGGGAAAACCTTCAGCGTTTCGCGGTTTGGAATCTCAAAATTTCAAGCATTTCATAAGAGAGAGCCATTCAAAGTTGTGTTTCTTCAATTCTCTTCACTTATGTTTCGTTTTATTTTGTTTTGTTTTGTTTTGTTTTTTGCAGGGTTTAAGTTATGTGTCGCATGCATCGTTGTACCAAACGTTATCGCAGTGCCAAATTCCATAACAGGAACTCCCAGAGGAGAGGATGTAGCCTTTCCAGGAAGTAACAAGGCAGCGCCAGAGCCAGGTCCTTTTTGGATCACTGCTAGGCAGCAGTGGGGATGGGTATGGAAAGTGCACTGGATAGGACTGGGTCTGGCGTTTGCCTTTTTAGCGTTGAAATCCTTGTGGGCATTAATTCGCCCTCCCGACATGATCAATAGCTTTGCAGGAAGGAATCTTTTCTACGCAATCAACTTCCTTCTAATGGCATTAGGTACTACAAGAAGTTTGTACCTGTGGATTGACCCGTACGAATCAGAAGAAAACATTCCCAACTGCCCATTGTGGATCATCAGACCGCTCTTTGGTATCGCCTTTCCTTGCCTCACGTCTGCATTTTGCCTTGTGCATGTTGCTTTATTGGAGGTCGCAAAGATTCAGGTTGGCTCACCTAAACTCAAAAGTCCCATTTTCGTGGGCAGTATAATCTTCGTGCATTTTTCGGTGGTCATTGTATCAGATACGACCACTGCAATAAAAGCCGACAGAACAGAACTTTTGATCGTGTGTCAGTCATTTTTCATCGTATGGGGGCTTCTTAATTCCATTTGCTTCATGTACAGTGGATCAAGAGTTGTCATAAAAACTATCATTATTCGAAACAAGGTCTGCGAAATGGAGAAAGCTGACTGGCACCCATTGACACGGCTTCCTCAGACCACCGTTGATCCCCGGCCACCCGCAAAGGATCATTGGCGTCATGAAGAAGAACCTCCTAATGAACAAAACCAACCTCGGAACGATCTGGGCAAAGTTGATCCAAAATTGGCTTCCATAATGAAGCCTCCTGTGCCCTCCAGTGACCATGGGGATGGAGCTCAAACCATAAAGCCAACAAGATTGTCAGTTCGGGCGCCCATACTCGTTAGGAACCAAAGAAATGTAAATACTTCTTTTGCTCTGACAGGAAAAGAGCGTGCGGTTCAGAAAGTCGCCAGCATTACCATAATAACCAGCATTCTAAGCATTGCGTGCTGTGGACTTCAAGCATATTCTTTATTTGGAGTTCAAGGGGTTTATACCACGGCTGTATCTCCAGCGCCATGGCCATGGTTTGCATTTGAGACGTCGTTTAGGCTTATAGAACTTTCCATGGGATTCCTGTTATCTTATTGTGTCCTTCGTCCATATGTCGGCCGAAGGAAACGTAGTTACAGGAACTTTTGGTGTCGTAAGATGACTGCAACTCCACGCATAGCCATCACACCTCTCAATAGAAACGGTGATTTTGCTTGAAAGCAACCGTTTCAGTGATCTAATTCATGATAGCATGAAACCAGAATTCAGTTGTTCAGACAAACCCTGCCACATTTTCATTAAGTAGATCCTCATTTACTGTCACATTGGTCTACCATGGAAAAATATATTTTACCAAAAGATTAATATTAAATATTAAATATTAAGGTTAGAAATGAAAGTTGACCATTCCTTCAATCAATTATATATATATTCTATAGAATTTTGTGTCCAAATAAAAAACTTTTGGTTGACAATTTTAAGAAGCAAGACAAGATATCGTATAGACCACAACACTAAAGTGGACGCTCGGGATAAACATGATGGGAAAAGCTTATCTCTAAGGGACCCGGTCGTTATTAATCGCCAGGGAGGGGAGGGAGGGCAGGAGGATTTGGGTTCGGTCACGATAAAATTTACTGAATCCCCCCCTATGTAATACTCTTATGATCTCCTCCCCTCCCTTATTGGCTGTAGAACGTCACGAACTGTGACGCATGTGTAGTCACGCGATAATCTCTGGATCTCGTGATTACCACGTGACGTGTGCTGAGTTGTACATGTAACCCGGAGGAAAAAACCCCGTGGTTTTCGCATGCGTAGTTGTCTTGATGTTTTGATTTTGTGACCTTTCAGGGCGAAGTCACGTGTAGAGTCGATTAAAGGGAATTTAACCCCAGGAGCTTGAACACTCGAACACACGTTGATCGGTTGAATAATTCCACAGAAATCAAGTTAAATCAATCAGAATGTTTATTGGGATAAGCGGCGAGTCAAATAGTACAGGAAAACGAGATGATAAAATAGAGGCTGTAGTTGTGTGGTTCGAACTAAAGGCAAACGATCAAAAGTAAAGGAAAGGCTTATGTAAGCTAATGCTACAACATAAATCAAGGATACCGATAAGAAACACAGATCTTATAGATGAAACAAATCGATTACAGCTAAAGATATGTGATCAGACTTGCTATGATCTTGGTCCTGCGGGTAGCAGTCAATAGAAAAATAGCTTTGAGAACTTAAGATGGCGAAAGGACGACGGATCACGTAACTCCACAGATAAAACGAAATAGTGGCTGATTATATCGATTTTATAGGTTAAATAACGAAATTTGATTCCCTAGCAATAACGGCGTAAATAATAAAGCTTAAACGTTACAAACTGATAACAAATAATTAATGACTAAACAAACAAAAATAAAACGTCTAACAGTATTAAGCGGGAATTAAATCGTCTTGAAGAGTTGAAAATTTGTTTATGCACATTATTTTTTCATTAATAGTTAATAAGCAGTCCATTTTCTATGGCCCCATAGCCCCCTCTTTCTACTCTGTTGGGGGAAAACTGATCCCCCTTCCGTTCCCCTAAAAATAATGAAATCCCCCCCCTCCCAAAAAAAAATAATAATAATAAAGAAATAGGTAAAAACAAAATGCAAGACGTTCCGAATAAACTTCAACGGTGTAGAACTTTGGAACTTTGCTATCATTAAAGCCGATATATTCTCTAAAAACACTGTTATGGTTGTTCTTTTGTGGATTCCAAACATGGTTTAGCATGCGCTTCTGGGACAACGTAGAAAGCATACGTCAAAGGTGGAAGAATCACCCGATTAGCTCTCGGTATTCTGATTGGCTGAAAAGAAGGTAAAAAGGAGTCTGAGCCCATTTCAAGCACCTTGCCATTAAGCTTGATCCTCCTGGACAAAAAAAAAGAAAATCACAAGAAAATTAAGAATAAATATCGGTGCATTAATTTGAAATTTTTCGTTAAGATAAACGGAGGTGGACTAGTCGTTACAAATTTGTTTCCACTGAGCCAACCCCTTCGCAGTGCATACAGAATCTGTATTTTTTATAAAGTGAGATGGTTATCTCTTGAACTGTGCCTCCCACACAATAGTCCATCTTACAGTTGTGTGGTTGGTTGCCAAGCCTTTGAATGGGAGTGAGGCTAGGGTTGACCTTGTTATGATACAAACCTTGCTGCCTTTCAAATGTAAATCACTTTGCTATCATGCTAAGTAGATACAGGTCTCTATCACAACAAGGTCACCTTCAGCCTCACTCTGAATCAAAGGCTTGGCAACTAAGTACACAACTGTAAAATGGTCTATTAGGAGCTGACGTGAAAGTGGCCCTCGCATGGGGAAAAATTAAACCCAGGAAGTGGTCACATGTACAAGGTTCTTTTGGTGGCGGTAAATTGAAAAATGGATGATAAACAATCTTATCTGATACGTGCATTTCCTTTACGCAGGGAATCACTCAAAATGACCGATGTAATTTTTCTATTCGAGCTAGCTCTCTCCAAGGGCTAACGATCTTCTTCCCCAACATTGATAAGTAACATCATTGGCACTGGTTTTTAGCCATTAGTGATATCCTCCAAACTTATTACATCGCTCGCAGCGCCCGTGGGCAAGATGAAGCGAATCCTGTGTTCTAATTGGCTACCTGAGCAGGCAAGATGGGCCCATCTCATCCGCATTGATCCCGCGCATGAAAAAAAAATCGAATTATAACTATGTTCGTAATTCTTGGACAATATCGGCGATGGAAACGCAAAAAGTGGCAGAAGATAATCAAAACAAAGGAAGGAGAAACGATTCTCGTGTGTTTGTTGTGCTACAAACACAGTTGGCTTTCTTTCCAAGCCCTCGAAATAAACAAGTCATTCCTAATTCTTATTAAAGCGAAATCTCTTTATAATGCAATTAATTCCTTTAATAACCAAGCTTGTTCGGTCAAGATGGCTGGATGTTAGCCTCGTTCTTTTTTCACATTTTTCTGGACCTCGACTTCGTCTTGGCCCATAAAAATACAAAAAAAAAAAAAAAACTCGGCCAATATCCAGCCATCTTGACCGATCAAGCTTGGTTAATAACCCAAACATCTCATGCTACGTTACCAACCTTATTCTCAGGGCCTTCTCCCTTTATTGGAGGTGTCCCCCACCCCAACCAAGGAAAAAGGCCCTAGGAACGAGGTTACTACGTTACGCAGCTTTGTCAGTTAGCTTCAATTGCATACAAATAACGGTTTAATCGTTCAACACCATTTAACGATAATTTGGTTTTACAAGATCAACTCAGTTGACCTAACCAAATCGTCTAGTATTAACCCCACCCACGCAGCACCGCAGCTTCTTCAGAAAATTAGCCACTTTACACATTATTTAAAACTCCCTTTCAAAAGTAGTTTTACGTCAGAAATTTCTTATACAAATTCAGAAAAATGTCTCCCATACGGGATTTTAATTTATTGATACTTTGAGTTGCATCAGTGTAAAGGATTCCTGTGATTCTTGCTAATTTGAAGTGGTTTGCACGTAAATTTCTTTCTTCCCGAAAGAGAGGATACCAACCTTGAAGTAATGTCTCCATCTGGAGTGAAAAGGAATTCATCTATATCGTGATCTTGAAGACTTTTATTCAAAATAACATTAGCCTCTCTCTCTGGATGTAGATTCATTGCCATAAATGTTATTGCACCCCTTTTGTAAAGACTGCAAAATGAAATTATTGGAAAAGTGATCAGATGTGCTTTGACTTTTATAAATTAGAAACTTCTTCATGAAACATTTGTCAATTCTGGTGTAAAGTAGCTAAAAAAACTGTTCCGTGTAGATGAAATATTAACTTGACATTTAACTTAACTTCAATTAAACGTTGTTTCCACAAACGATTTATTCTTTATTCAAGCTAAACTGAGGGTGCATAAAGGATCGAAAGACTGGTGATTTGAATGATTGGTGTGATACTAAGCAACATGCTGCTCTTTTAGCTATAAACTACGTTTTAAGCAGTCGATGAACTCTTACCCTGATTTCGTGTTGGTGCAATAGGCAAAGATTCTCACCATCTCAGGGAGATATAAATCACGCTTGACCTCAAGGACAATGGTACCAAGCAATTTTTTATGGAGGAACGAAAGCCAATAATCCTACGTGGGTCCAATTGTGCCAGTATGTTAGACTAAATGAAACTTGGAAGTCTTCAATGTCACATTCTAAGGTGAATGATCCCTAAATGTCAAGGGCATAGCTGGTTTAAGGTCGAAGGGAACATTCAACGGAAAAGTAACCATTCAGTGGCCGGAAAAAGGTTTAGCACGAGCTAATACAATATCTATTGGGTAAGAATTCACCCATGCGCGGAGTGCGATATCCATCGCTCCTCACAATTGGGTCGTGGTGGGTAGATATCTACTATACTAGAGACAGAGGTACCCCTATACAATTCTCTTATTCTTGATACTGGTTCTACTGGCCTCAAGAGACGTGCTACACAATTTAAAAGAGACTCAAAAGAAAAGAAGTTATGTATTGGCGGACGACCAATTTTTGGATATTTGCCATCGAGTTTGATTGACGTCATCCAACTTCGTGGCCCTTTAAATTTTTCGCTTTTTCCATTATAATCATTTGCTTTTCAAAAGAACATTAGATATCAAACTTGACGGGAAAACAAGTTTTCTGTGCTTCCCTTTTCAACTTACAACTTTAATTCTTTCGTAGCTCTAATAAACCCTTGAACTACACCTCACTAGTCATGGGAAAAATCTCTTACATCTATAAGCTGATTTTCACCATGTTCACAACAAATATGTCTTAAAATAGATTGGAAAAAAAAAAGAGAGAGGTGGTAGCATCCATGCCCACCCCCTCCCTCCACCCTTCCCCTCCCCCTTCTCCTCCATCCTCCACGTAGGTCCGAGGGCCAAATTTATAAATTGAAATAAAGACATCATATGACCTACTGGATTTGGTTCCATGTCCTCCAGTCCCACTAGCGAGTAGTACCCCTGGAACATCGTTTGCCTTAAAACCACTTCATACCCGTGTTGAGCCGCCATACCCAGTTTGTTCAACCACCTAAAAATGGAGTCAACGGAAGAGAAAACAAGCTAAGCGGTAGAAAGCTGTGAGCAGAGAGGTGATGCAAATGTTGTTTTTTTTTTCCACTCAGCGTGATATGGCCATGAAGGGATCTTCCTTTGGTAAACTCATAGTGATATTGTAAGATCTCTTAATCTTACATGTTAAAACATGTTGTATTACTTTTAGTTATCTCAAGTTACATTATAATATAACCAAAGTAAAGCGCGTCCTCTGATTGGTCAATTCAGAGTCTACCTTTTGCCTATGTCTGTACGCTGCTCACGTGAGAAAATGTAAAGACTAGTTTCCGCGCGCTTGTGTTTTCTGATCACTTAAGATTTCAGTGTAAAATAAAAGGGAATTCTGTTGCTACGATGTATCAATGCTGGGAAGTTTGCTGAGCACTTAAGAAGCTAGATTCGCGCGAGGCGATTTTACGCTTCTTTCGTGCTTAGCAACCTCAGCCCACGTGCATCCAAAACTCTATAGTAGAAACTATGGTGTTTACCATTTGTTAATTTTCATTTGCTTCAATCGGGACTAGTTGACTCCAAAGCTGAATGGAATTTATTTTGTTACCATTAAGACTTCTAACCCATTACAACATAGTTCAAACGTTAAATTTCTTAATTAATTTTTTCTTAATTAATTTTTGTCTACTCTCATTAAGTTAAGATCCTTCAATAAATCGTAAGATTATATACAAGTTTACTCACAAAAAACCAGCCACAAATCTGCCAGATATTCCAGCTGCACCCCCTCCACTGACACTTGCAGTTTCACCAAACCACCTGGGAAGACCCGGAGCATACTCACTAATTACCTCATCTGCCTCCTTTATGTCTTGAAGTAGTGTGTCCAACGTTTGCGGGACATAGAACTGTGGAAGGGAGCATTGTTCTGCCCTAACGTAGTAACTATTGCAAAAACAAACAAAAACAGAAAGGCATCATCGAAGTTTAGTGTGGGAGACACAGGGCCGGCTATTCAAACAAAGTTTGGCTATTGTTTAACAAAACCGCATTTGAAGTCACCTTCAATTAAGCCAAACTTTCAATCTAAACATTTATTTTTCTGAACAGTGCCAAGAGGGCCGAAAGCTAATAGTTCAAGAAGCTTCAATTAAATGAATGAACCCTCTCATAGAGACTCACCGCCTGCCTAAAACAGCGGTTTGAGTTTGATCTCGTGCAAATAACCGGCCCAGTGAACTATCGGTAAGCGCTTGACTGTGGGTCGAGTGGTCTGGGGTGGAGACGTGGCCGAGTCAACATGATTCGCTCTTGGAAAAGACAATTTATTCACACAATTTTCTCCTCTGGAAGTATGAATAGGTGCCAGAGAACTGTCAGGAAAAATTCTCAAAATGCTGAGGGAGGTGTACCAGATCGAGTTGGATTAGCATCCCGTTCAGGGTAGGGTGGGGAGTAGTAATACACCTTGTTGCTTCATGCTACGGAGGTTGGGATGAACTTTGACAGAGTGATCCACTTGACTCGAGTGTTGAGTCAATTCTTTTATAAAAAAGAGATTTAGTGCAGTAAAAACGAAAATGAAAAAGCTTTAAGGAGATAACACTTCATGAAGTCTAAATCTTTTACGCAGCGAGAATTATTTTTAGGTGAAAATAACCTTTATTAACCGTCTGGTAATTAGCTTGTCTTTGTTTTCACCGTAGAACGTAGAACTCTAATGATCGACCACGAGCAAAGTCTCTTTTACAACCCTTTTGCAGTTATACCGGCCTGGTTGACGCCTTCTCGATACTTATGGGCTTCTTCTGTATTTTGAAATAATAAAAAAAAAAAAGAACCCAACAAAAAGTATCATTTTCACTTACTGATGCCAAGTAACTGCATCAAGGGAAGAGCTGCCGCTCTCAAGAAACCTATACAGTATCAAAGAAAGGGATTTATCAGCTTCAAGTGCTAGCTCAATGTTAAATATTTCAAGAAAACAAATAATGCTGATTGGAAAGAAAATGGTTGGCAAATGATTGCTGTCGGCGACAGGGATCCCCTTGTCAAGTTTTAGAAAATTGATTGCAGAGGATTTCAATATTTCTCACCTTTGTAAATATTCTATCGCATTTCCTCGAGGCTGTGTTACCTCTGGTCCAACAAGAAAATTGTGAACGCCAGCAGTGTTTGACAAGAGACCCCTGAGCTGCTTAAAGTCTTCAGCCAGTTGTTCGGGCGAAATGGTGACACCAAAGGGATCCAAGTGATTTGGTTCTGCCACGGACAAAAGAGAAATCATTTCCTACGTTGATGTTAAGGATATAAAGCGGAGAACCTATCAAACCCCCATGCAATACAATAGACAATTTTTGGCACACTCGTTGGAACGTTGGGTGAGTCTCTATTGTGTTGATATAGTCTCTATTAAACCTTACTGAGCAAAAGTTAACAACAAACTTTTTCCTCCTAAACCTCTTTTTTCTTGATAAACTACAGACTTGATCATGATGTTGCAATTTCAAAGTTTACAGCAGTTACAGCTAAATCACCAGAAACTTCAAATGCAAAGTTTTGTGCTCGCTAGTTTACTTTCACAAGTTAGAAAATTGAGGATCATTGGTCGGAGCAGGTGCTCCCTAGCTCTCAAGGTCGTTCACTCCTTTGCACATTATAACATAACCAAAGTAAAGCGCGCGCTCTGATTGGTCAATTTAGCGTCCCCCATTTGCCCATGGGTGTACGCTGCTGACGTGAGCAAATGCAAAGACTATTTTTCCGCGCGCGATTGTTTTTTTCTGGTCACGTAAGATTTCTTAAATAAAAGGGAACTCTTTAGCTACAATGTATCAATGTTATGTTATAAAACAAATGGTAAACACGACAGCGTACACAATTGAGTTATGGATGCACAAGGGAGGTTTGCTAAGCACGAAAGAAGCTAGAGTCGCTCTCGGCTATCGCCTGAAAGAAGCTAGAGTCGCTCTCGGCTATCGCCTCGAGCGACTCTTACGCTTCTTTCGTGCTTAGCAACCTCCCGCGTGCATCCATAACTCAATTGTGTACGCTGTAGTGTTTACCATTTGTTAAATATGAGACAACGGCACATAAAAAAGATGCAATAAACCAACACAAGAAGGAAAAGTCGTTTACTCGGATAATACTCCCATAATAAGGAAACACTCACAATAAAAAAAAAAACCGTGATGAAAGATCAAAATTTGCGGGCAAATGTATGTTAAAACTTAAAGCAGTGATCATCGTGGACTAAGCAAAGGTAGGAACGGATTACCAAAACAAAACTGAATAATCTGATCTCATTTACACTGATAAATGAGATTCCTCATTCCCTCGGAATTCGAAAGGTTGTCATTTATTGAACGAAGCTTGGCAAAATATCGGCTTCGGCAAATAGTAAGGACCTGTCATTTCAAACTGAAGTCGAAGTTAGCCATTATTAAAGGCAACCACGCGGTTTAGACGTTGTTTTGATAGACAATGGTTAAACAATGTTTGTAGTACATTATTAAAACGCGTTTGACCTATGTTTTTTCGCAGTCAAGGGCTAAAGTATGTCTTACGGGGGAATACACGGTTTTTTTGAGTGATTTGTATGCCAATTTTGAAGGTTTTACCCAACGTGGCCTCAAAATCCGACCTAACAGCAAGTTTTAGCGTAGAAGAAAACCTTTTGCTGGGTGGAATCAGGGAGGTTATTCTCAGATATAGAAAGTTATGACAATAAGACATTGACGAAAACGACAAAAGCGTGGGAAGAAATTGAGAAAAGAATTCAAATCCCAAAATCCAAATGCGATGAAACGGAACGTAAATCAAATTCAAAGATGCTGGAAGTGGTTGCAGTCACATTAAAAGAAAGGAAACGATTTGAAACGTCGCGCGATTGTTTCAAGAATGACAAAAGTATTCTCCAGGACTGCGTGTAGTCCTAAGTGCAGACACGGAAATCGTCGTTTTAGTAAACTGAATAACACACCTAGTGTGCCTATTTAAACAATAG